CTACCGACTAGTCGAGTAGTTGATGGAAATTCCATCGACTACTTGACTAGCAAATTAATCGCTACTTAGCATCCCTAGCTGCATGCAGTTTAGCATAGCTACCACTAGAGCACAATGCAGAAAGAAGGGCGTCTTTAAAAGGCATCTTTGCAGGTCTCAAAATTACAGCAACATCTCTGCCCATTCACGGTGAAAATTCAATGCTTACCAGCGCTCATAATTGCGCCCTGCATCTATGGAGTGGTCTGCCATTGGGGTGTAGTATAAAGCAGCCGGGGGCATTAGACCAGCATGCCTTTAAAACAAAGACACACATGCAATGTAAACACACTTTCTGCAGGTTATAGATCACAGCTTCTTTACATCTGCCCCCTGGAAAAAATACAGCCCCATTTTAAAGATGTGGTACTATGCGTGGAAAGAAATATCACCATCCCATTATACACCAGAAAAAACAACCCATAAACCTCTCATGAGGAAAAAGAGATAGAAGTCATAGTTTACTTCAGTGCCAGGAAGCCGGTCATCTGGAATATTACATGGCACAGAGAAATTAAGGCCCCACTTTTTCAAACAAATCAAGTTTTCAGTTGCCTGGTCATCTGGAACATTACATGGCACAGAGAAATTAAGGACCCGCTTTTTCAAACAAATCAAGTTTTCAGTTGCACGCTCCCCGTTCAAAGTAGTTAGCATGATAGTAAGGGAAAGGTGCGGCCACTTTATGTTCGCCCCACTGGGTTCCTTAGGGGAAAGCCGTTTGCATCTGCTGTCTACCAGCAGTCTCTGTCGATGGGCTCTCTCCATGGTCAGGAAGAGAATCTGAACCGTAAGGTGAATCTGGACAGCTAAGTGAAAGAATAACAGTTAGCAGGGGGATTTTCCATAGCGCCACAAACTTAAGTGATAACAGATTTTCACCAAGGGTAATTATGCATCCAGAGGCCTGTTCTGTTTCAACAATTGCAAGTTTTTACAGCAACATTGATCCGAAACAGTAATTACTAAGTCACAGAGGCGGAGCCGTGTTAGTCTGTAACTTTAAAAACGAGTAGTCCTGTGGCATCTTAGGGTATGTCTAGACTACATGTTTCTTTCGAAAAAGCTGCCTTCGAAAGAGAGCATCTAGAAAGGCACAGCTTTTTTTCAATAAAGCAATCCACTTTTTCAAAAAAGAACACCCAGGCAATCTGGATGCTCTCTTTCAAAAAAGCCGTTTGCGTTCAAGAACGCCTTTTTTCAAAAGCGCTCTTTCGAAAAAAGGCATTCTTCCTCATAAAATGAGCTGTACCGCTGTCAAAAAAAGTCGCCACATTTTTTCGATTTAATTTTGAAAGAACATGACGGCAGTCTAGATGCAGGTGAAGTTTTTTGGAAAAAACCCTGTCATCTAGACATAGCCTTAGACATTAGCAACAAAAGAGAGAGAGAGAGAGAGAGAGAGAGAGTATCATGAGTTTTCGTGGGCAGAACCCACTTCTTTAGATGAGCTGCAGTGAGGTGAGCTTTGCCCACGAAAGCTCATGATACTATATATATTTTTGTTAGCCTCTGAACTTCTGCGTTTTCACAATCTATGTCCAAATTTTGCCATTTGGGACTGCCCTAGAGCATAATAGCTATGAACCTTTGTCAGATACATCGTACCTCAGTAATTACGGTGGCACCTTTGGGATTATTTGGAAGATTAGATCTGGCCCCTTCTGAAGATTTATTTGAGCTTTGAAAAATTGAGGTTTACAGTGTTCAAAACCCACCACCAAAGGTCAGGGAGTTTGGTTCTGGTCTCATTTCTACCACAGTGTGCACTATTTACAGTTTTAGTCAGCTCCCTAAAGAAAGATGGAATCCAGGGTAAATTCTAGCATGAGAATGTATAAAGGAATAAAACACAAGAACTTACATGCTCCCTTCCCTCCTTGAAGAGGTTAGTACAACTTTGTCCACAAAGGAAATACAATGCCTTCATGGGCACATTCCAGAGTACTGAAAGGAGAACCGTAAAAAAATAGACTATATTGCTGTCCTATGGAACTACAGTGTGGGTATAAGGTCATCACAGCTGAACTAATCATAGCCAGAATAGATATTTAGTCCTTCTGTTACGGCTATAGATATTACTTTCCTCAACTCTCCAAGTCCATATGCCAGCAGGAGTGCTGGGAATGGCAAGAAGGCCAAATTCAAAACCACACACAATCCAGCTGCTGCTGACAGTCACCATTTGAAGTTTTGGGTTTTTTTAAAGGGTGTCAGAGTTTAGTACATAATGAACAAGACATTCTGGAAACAGAGCTATTTTAGCTACAGCAACTCAGCAGCTAAATAGCCAGGGCCTGTGCAGGAAAGAAAGGAATGATGAGTGTGTTAGCCACATCTTTTAGGCCAGGACTACACTAAAGGGGAAGGTTGAATCAAGATACATAACTCAAAATACACAATGTAGCTGAAGTTGATGTACCTTGCTTTGAGTTTCCCCACTGTCCCCAAAACAGGAGGCCGATGGGAGGAAATGGTCGTCAGCTTCCCTTACACCTGACAGGAACAAGACTACCAATCGTCGACAGGGGCACCCTCTGAGTTTGATTCAGCGGGTCTTTACTAGACCCGCTAAACCAAACTCTGGAAGATTGATCACAACAGTATCGATCTTCCCTGGACTGAAGACATGGCCTTAGATGAGGGGGAAAATAGTTGCATTTTTTTAAAACTAGAGATGTAGAGCAACATAAATGTACCATCTAACATGAGAGCCATTTGTTTTCAAGTTAGGGTATACCATAGTACTTTTGATTGACTACTAAATAGTTTCTCAGACTAGTTAGTTCCACTGCAGCTTTTTAGAAGGCATTTTTATTAACTTGTACATCCAGGAGAATACCGAGTAACATTGAAGTATATATGATGTACACACATCCTGGAGATTTTTAAGCTGTGAATCACATACTCGATCTTTAGAATTGCACTTGAGGCCAGATTCTGTTACACCATTGTAAACCTAGAGTAATGTCACTGAAATCAGAGTTACTCCAGATTTATGCTGACATAACTGAACACCACTGGGGCAGGTTGTTTATTTTGACTTCCATGGGAGCTCTGTTGTATGCTTAAAGAGAAACTGTTGTCCTAGCTATTGGACTTCCTCGATCTCCTCTACACCAGTACTGGGGTATTAGTAAGTAAAGGAGCACTCATCACCCTCAAACAGGAGTGGCCCTAGATGAGCTGCCGGCAACTGGCACCCTAGGCAAAACGCACGATCGGCATGCAGTCGGCACCCCCGCCTCCAAAGCCCTCAACAGCTGTTTATCTTGGCTCCCTAGGCAACTGCCTAGTTTGCCTATATTGACGGGCCACCACTGCCCTCAAAACGCAGCCTCTTGACTATCAGCAAGCAGGTGTCCAGAGTCTGTTGCTGTAACCAAGCTATGGAAGCACTATTTAATGAGATGCCACCATTCCAGCTTCTTTGGATTGTGCCTTGCTCAAAAACTGCCACTCCGTACCTGCATGGCCCTATGGCACATCCTCAGTACAGTCTTTGGTTGCAATTGACAATGGAACCACCTCGGTAGCTTGAGAATCCCCGTCCACGGGTCAGCAAATGAGACAAGACATCTCCAAGCAAACTAACCGATGCAGCCGGAAACTTTTCCAGCTGATCTTCTACTGAACTTATTTGCTTCTGGTAGAAAGCAGCGCCTGGGGAGAGAATGACACTGTGAATATCTATTTCTCCCCTTTGCATTTTTTCAGACGATAACTGAATGCAAATGCAAATCTGCAGGTTTAGATAAAGTCTGCAGAAGGAGAAAAATAATCTGTGGACACAGATGAGAGAAATCCATGGAAAATTATTAGACTTACTACATGGGGAGAAAAAGGTTTGCAAATACACAATTTTCCTTTTATTGATCTGTGGACGTATTTTAAAACAGGCATGTGGAAACCATCAAGTAACTCATTGAAATTATGGGTACTCACAGAAAGCCATTCTGCCAACATCGTGCTGGTACAAATGCAAATGTGGGCCTCTCTTATGGGAAACAGAGCAGCTCATTGATTTAATAAGTATTTTCCTCCTTCAATCTGCCACAGGCTCACTGAACCTCCCCCTTTCCCCACCTGATCACTGTTCTTGGCCACATCTGTGGAGCATTTCCAAATCTTCAGTCAAAAGGTGCTATACAGCCTAAGGGCTTGTCTATGAAGTACAGCGAAGTGCCCCAGAGGGAGATAATGTCTAAAGAGCATCAATGTGTTGCTTTCTGACTGTCTTGCATAGACCCTGCTGGCGTGAACTAAAAGTTCCGTAAGGTGCATTAACGTAGAAATGACATCCTTCTGGTGAGCATTGCTGTACCATGTGGACAAGCCCTAAGTTGGAAGTCAGCCTTTGCTATTATTTGGCGGATAGCAAAGACATAGCTAATTGATTCTGCTCCTGGCTTTATGGTAGTGGATGATTAAAACAAGGGTAAGCAAGAAGATTCACAGATGAGTATAGTAGGCCAAATCTTCAGCTATTGTACATTGGTGTTACTGTGTTGACTTCAGTGGAGCAAAGTCTAGTCACACTGGCTGCAGAGCTGGCTCACAGTCTTAACCAAAATTAACTTAGTCCTATGAGGACGCAAAGGCTAGTTGGAGGCAATTTGCTCAATTAATGATGGGTGACAAAAAGGACAATCAGATCTTGTGCGCCGTAATGTCTCATTTGTTTAGCTACATTCAATTTCCCAATTTGAATTTGGCCAACCATGTTGAATTTGTGAACATTCTCCCCTGAGGTAAGCCCTGTCAAGTCAGTAGAGTGACATCTGAGACAATAGCCGTGACCCATTGTTAAAAAGGAAGTGTGATTGTTCTGTGCAGTTCCCAGCCAGACGACAGTCACTGACTGCTTCTGCTAAGGACAGCCAGTTTGCGAGAGATGTGCTGTACGATGCTGCAAACAAGATTTCATATGAGAAGCCAAGTGCCCCCGCTTCTCTCAGCTGATTCATCAAACAGAAGGAAGCCTTTGTTGAAAGAAGACTGCATGATAGCCTGATGTGTAATGACAGAAGTAACTGCTTGTACAGTGCATGTGAAAACACGAGGGCTGAACAAGGCTGGAGAATGTCAACAGAACTTGGAAGGTGGGTCTTCTGCCGATCAAAAAGTTCTGCCATGAATCTGAATACAAACACACCTCCTTAAAACGAGAACAGAAGGGGGAAACTAGACATGCACCATGCAGCAAGTACCTTTCCCTCCCTGCATGGCATGTCTGGCTTTCTCCTGCCTCTGCTTTGGGAATAAGGATCTGGAGCAGGGTCAGGCCAGAGGGCTACAGGAGAAATATATTAACCCCAGATTAAATAGGTCTCTATTCCCAGGGTAGATAACAAGGGATGATCCAGAACCAGCAAGAATGTGCTAGAATCAGTCCGAGCAAATCAGGCCAATTAAAAACACCTGGAACCAATTAGGAGGCTTCCAGACTCAAGGGAGCCAGGTTAATGAGCACACCTGGGGGCCAGTTAAGAACCGGTTGAGACTGGTTTAAAAAGGCTTCCCTTCTGTTAGCTCAGTGTATGAGGAAGGAGCTGATGAGAGAAAGTGTGGCAGAGAATCTGGGAGAAGAAAGTGCAAGCGGGTATCAGGAAGAAGAATCTCCAATGGGGAAGGTGCCAAGGAAGAGGCCCAGGGATCTGTAGCTATCATGGAGCTGCTATCAGAAACATTAGAGAGAGCTGCCATTACAGGGTCCCAGGCCTGGAACCCGTAGTAGACAACAGGTCTGCCCCCAACCCCAGCAACTCCCCATTTCAGGACTAGAAAGAGGCTGGTTTTGGTACAAGGGGTTGTCCTACCCTGGGAGGGTCCGCAGAGATGACAAAGTTTGGTTTCCCCTTTTTTCTCCATGCTGGCCAATGATGGGAGTAGCTCCACAAACATCAAGCCAGTGTCTAAACGGAGGGCTGCTGGGCGCCTCTGAAGCAAGTACCGTGTTTTAGCACATATAACCTGCAGGTTATACAAAGTTTTACAAACCCCGCAACCCCCTCCCCGTGGGCTATACATGTCCGCGGGGTATTTTTACTTGCCTGGGCGCGAGTGCGTCTCCCCTCCCGCAGGCCAGCCAGCTTGCCTGCACTCTCTGTTCCCCTCTCCCGGAGGAGGGTGAGTTGCGCCTGGCTGTAGCTGTGTGGAGCCTGGACGTGAGCGCGGCTTCTCTCCTGCAGGCCGGCCAGCAATTACCAGGTACCTTAAAGTAGCGTATATAACCCGCGGGCTATACACGTGCACAGGCTCTTTCTTTTCTTTTTTTTTTAAAACACATTTAGGAAAAAACCGTGGGTTATGCACAAGTGTGGGTTATATATGCTAATTTACGGTAATCCACCTGAAAGCGCAGGACCCACCAAGGTTCAAGAGGAGCTTTGTCACACAAAATATCCACAGCTCCCCTGCTAGAGGCCTAGATAATATTCTACCATCAAGAGTGCTCAAGTTGTCCATCCAGAACATAACGATTGCAGGTTCTATTCAGTAAAACAAGTGCAAACCACCACGGGGAGTTCACATTGCGCTTACCCCCTTTATATCAGGTGCTACTAGACAAGGATCAGAGCCTGTAAGAAGAGTGCAGGAACCAACATAAGCTTTTTGCTTCCTTGCTCAAGTTTAACATTCTTTTGTGTGCTGCAAAATAATCACCTCGTAAATTAAAATCCTCCGTCGCTCTAATGAAATCATTTCACGTGAAGGATTTATCTGCATCCAACAGCCATTTTATTGTCAGGGCACAGGATTCATCCTAATCTCTGTGCAACAAAGGATAACAACCTGGAAGAAAGACTGAAACTATAAAGGGGTAAAGTACCTTAATCTACATGCCATGGTGATGCATGCTTTAGAAAGCTAGGCAGATTAGATCAAAAGCCACCATAAGACAGTCTAGTGTCTTGGCGAGAGACCTTCAGAAACTAATAGCTAATATGAAAAGGAGACTTTTAAAGTACAGATATAGTCAGGGAAGTCAGTATGAAAAAGCAGCACCTTCTTACTGCCTCCATTCTCTTTGAATCTGACTTGCCTGCTCAATTGCTGATAAAAAAAAAATCCACTGGTCTGCTGCTCCGCCTAACCCCGCGGAGGAGAAGTGGTATGAGAGAAGGAGCTTTGGCTTTATCCTACTTCCCTAAAGAAAAAAGGTCAAGGAAGGTCCAGTGACGGACTTTTTGGTGGTGCATCAGAAAGAAAAGCCACAGATCCCGGACTGAACATGGGGACTGGAAAGCTCACACCCTGGACTTTTATTATTAGTAATTACAGAGCTTCAAAAACACTTACACAGTGTTTCTGAGCTACACAAAAGGAAATGTCCCTGACCAGGAACATCAGTTCTTTCAAAATTTCCCAGCATTTGAGGTCTGTAAGAAATCCTGCAGTCTTCTCAGTGCCTTTAACGTGATGTTTGACCTTCTTAGGTTTGGGTTTTGAAGGAACCAATGGAAATTAGGCAGCTGAGTCCTGGTGAATTTTAACAGGAGTTGTGCGCTCAACTCCTTTGGGGTACGTCTAGACTACAGGCTTTTGTCAACAGAAGTTTTGTCAACAGACACTGTCGACAAAGATTCTGTCAACAAACAGCGTCTAGACTACATCCAGTTCTGTCAACAAAACAAGCCGCTTTGTTGACATGACAGTGTAGACGCAAAAGACAGTGTAGATGCAATAACGCCTTCTGTTGACAGAACTCCATCAACAAAAGGCGTTATTCATCATAGAATGAGGTTTACCGCCGTCGACAAAACTGCTAAGTTCTGTTGACGTTATGTCGACCGAACTCAGCGGCAGTGTAGATGCAGGTATAGTTTTGTCAACAAAAGTCTACTTTTGTTGACAAAACTCTGTAGTCTAGACACACCGTTAGGCTCCTTTAAAAATCCCATTCCAAACTTCTCCAAGTCTCAACTGCCTTCTCTGTCAACCAAGGAGAGCAATGCAAAACCTACCTGGGGTAGCGTGAGGATGAATGTTTGCATAGGCCTTTGAAAATGAAGCCCTCTGAAGTGCCAAGAATTCTCTTTTAAAAGCCACACCCCTTTACTCCCATCATCTATAGCCCTACTTCGCAAATGCTCTCATGGACTTCAATGGAACTACTTCCAGGTCCTCTCAGAGGTCCAGAAAGACCCGGGCTGCTTCTGGCTTTTGAGGCCCCTAGCCATTGTAAAAAGTAAAATATGACACCGATCCAGTGTCAGCCACTAGTAGTGGTTTGTTTATATAATCAGCTGATCTGAGAGGACACATTCATCACTGTCCAGTCTTGTGCCATCGGAATGGATACATTTTTGTTAACATTTATGAACGCTTTAACGCTTTAATATGACATTTATATCAGTTAACAAAAATAGTAGGTCTTTTACCAAATCACATCTCTTATTTGCTTAAATTTGCAGCTCTAAGCTGAGAGTGTGTGTCACATTTTGGTCTGATAGGGATGCGCATAAAAGCAAGTTGCAAAACTTGTCAAAAAATTAACAAGTGCATAAATTTGAGGCCACCTTCAACCTTGAGGCCCAAGCCAAATGGCCCTCCTTCTAACTGCAGCTGATGTCTTTAGTTGCAAGATCAATATGAGTTTTTTAAAAGTTTTAAAGCCTTGTCCCTATCTGCTCTCAACAGAGCAGAGTTTGCGTTACTTCCTTGTAGTCTATATTTGTCCTTTTCTTTCTATTGAAGGCATGTCTATATATAGGAGCAGGCTCAGGTTTCTTGTGCCTGGCCAGCGAAAGGCGGCTGTGTCATTGTGGAATTAAACCTTCTCTGACCCTGTGCTGACAAGAAGAGATTTTAAGCCACATGCTCGCTCAGTCTCGGGGCATGTGATTCTGTGGTTGTCATTAGTAAAAATTGGAAGCGCTGCTATAAACTCCTTAAATATAAGCTGTGTCACAAAAGCAATAGAAGATGAGAGGAAAGCCAGTACACAAAGTACAGGGAATTAACAGCCAGGGAGACGGACACAGCAAACAGGGTGTTTTTGGCTGGACACACTGGCATCATCCAAACAGGGATCTCTTTGGCTTGCTCTAAACTAGAAAATTAAATTGGCTTAATTAGGTCACACGGGCATGTGACAAGCAAATGTGGTAATTAAGCCAGCCTAGCTGTCCATGTAGACAGCACTAGGTTGACCTCGCTGCTTCCTCTAGGGGAGGTGGATTGCTTAGGCCCATCAGCACAGATCTATACTGAAGCACTGCACTGGCACAGCTGTAGCATGGCCGGCTCAAGCCATTCCTGCACCCCGGGCAGCAGGCGCACAACGCATGCACAGCCCCGCCCCCCAGCACGTTGCGCACCTTACAGCTGCAATCGGGCACGTGGCTGCCCGGCTAAGCCCCCCTTAATCTAGCCCTGGGCATGAACAAACCAAGAGCATAAACCCTGACAAACTCGAAGCTCCACACTGGCCCCATCATCCAATATTCCTGCATGTTTAGGGTTGCCAGGTGTCCGATTTTCGCTCAGACTGTCCATTATTCAGGTTAAAAAAATAGAAAATACCGGACATGTGAAATATCCAAACTCAGACTGTCCATTATTCAGGTAAAAAAAAAACAGAAAATACCGGACATGTGAAATATCCAATATTTCCTGTTTCCCTTGGACAGAAACCCGGCGAGGACAATTTTCCCCTGCCGCGTCTGGGGGACTGAGGAGTACGGGGCCATTTAAAGGCGCAGCGCCCTTTTTGGACTGAGGAGTATGGGGCCATTTAAAGGCGCAGCGCCCTTTTTTTTTTTTGGCTCAATAACTTTTGTCTCCCCCACCCTTTTTTCCCCCCCCCCTCAACAGAACTTTTTCCCAGTGTTGTTTTTTTTGGGGGGGGGTTCCATATTTTTTGTTAAACCATCTGGCAACCCTATGCATGTTAGAGGCTTATAGTAACCAAAATGGTTGTATTCTGCCTCCAGAGGACCACAAAATGGGATAGTTGCTGCCTCATTGGGATCAGTTGTTCTCACTTTCTTCTGGACATAAGTTGTAATATACTCCAGGAGTATCTAGCTGAGCAGGATGAATAGTATTTGGTAAGCCGGAAATTTGATAAGTTAAAAAATGAGATTTTGTCAAGAATGACCCTTGGGTATTCTTTTAAACTTACTCTTTACTTTTTTTTTTTTTAAACGCCACAAAAATGTATCTTGATTCAAAAATTGTCCCTGTGACATTTTCAAAAAATTTATCTTGTTTCAAAAATTGTCCCTGTGACATTTTCAGACCAAATCATTTCAGAAGTTTTTCCAAGGGCTGGGGGGAGAGAAAATCCCAAACCAATTTTCAACCCTCTCTAGTAACAATGGGATGCCGAGCTGCTGGGTCCGTGGTGGTAACTGCTAATTGATGCGCCCTCTCGTTTGCATGGTGGAGAAGAGAGGTCAGCATTTTGCTGGGCTAGACCCTTGTTAGCCATTACAGCTGGATAGGATATTTCCCACTGAATGCCTTTTGTCAACACTATGCTGGTGTGTCAAAGCCAAAACTCTTCCCAGAGATGTATTCACTTCAACAAAAGTGTTCAACAGGAAGAGTTCTGAGGTCTAGGGTGGACTCTCCGGTCATTTCCAGAAAGAGAGGGAATCACACTTCTGACCTTTTTGATCCCAAAACGGCTGTTTTGACGCAATTCCTTGTCATGAAAGCATCCGGGACGCTTTGGTTTTGTTCCAGCAGTGAACTGAAAACAACGGATGAGAGTTGCCATGAAATAGGCCGGTCATTTCCTGGCAGTTCCCCCAGCAATCCCAGCAGAGAAATCAAGGACACCACAGCCGTGGAAAGTCAACAACCCCACCATACCTCGAGAGGCTCTCTCCTTGCCAGGGTTGGAGGGAGGCTGCTCTACTGCTCTTCCCACAGTTTGCACAGCTATTATTGAAATCAGTGGCATGTTCAAGATAATCACATCTCTGCTGGTTCAATTACCTTCTAGGAAAGACAGAAAAAAACTTCGCCTCATTGGCTTCGCAGCAGTTACTAAACCTTTGTTGTAAAAAGAACAGGTGAAGAGCAGCGTAGTTAAAGGAGGTTACAGAGCTTGCTCAAATGTTAGGCTACTTTTCTCATAAAAACGCCAATTAGGACTTAATTTTTACTCTCAGCCCCCCCGCCCCACAGTGTCAGCACCTCCGAAAAAATCTCCCCCTCAGCATTGTAGGTAGCTACGTAGTGCAAGTGGAAGAACGGAGAATTTTGCAAACGTCTGTTCCTTGTTTGTTGAGAAACGTTGCAATTCAGAGTTTTCCAGCCAGCTCTGCTACCTAAGGCTGCCTCTTTCTATTCCCGCTTTCGTGGAAAGGCTTTCTGGCTCACACGTCTGCCAGGACAAGGTAGGCCAAGTGCTTTGCAAATGGATAAGCATTGTTCCCATTGCTACGGATGAGGGAACCGAAATGGAGGGATGAAGGGTTGGATGAAATATAGCTGCCCTTTCACAGAGGCAAGGCATGGACCAAATAGTAACTCGGTCATCCTTCAATCCCTACTTCCTCCTTGTTTCGGGTAGAAGTAAACTGTTCCAGCCGTTCTTCTGACATGCGTCACCTCCCCCCTCCAGGCTAACTTAGCCCCACTGGCTGGCTCGGGACGGAAGGATCCAACACCACCCTTCACCCACTTGCCCAGGAGGGCAGGTAAGGTCTGGTAACGGGGACAGGCACAGTCCCCTGTTCTGCTGCCTACATGCGCACGTGTGTGACGAATGACTTGACCAACGAGCCAGCGGCACACAACAGAACCTTAGAGGGCACGTCTACATGGCCCCCGACACTTGTGCTAGCCGGGCTGGTGCTAGCCTGCTAAATACAACTGTGTAGAGGTCGCAGCTCAGGTTGGAATTCGGGCTTTGAGATCTTAGTGGGAGCAGGAGTCACAACCCGAGTCACAAGGTCAAAGCATCATCTACACCAGGGGTGGGCAATAATTTTCGCAAGGGGGCCGCTCAATGAATTTTGGAACGTGGTCATGGGCCAGCTCCACCCCCAGAAAGGAACAGGACTTGGGGCAGAAGGGCCGTGGCTAGAGACTCCCTCCAGAGTTGTCTGGGGCTGGAGGCTTTGAATTAAAAATACAGCAAAGAACTCACAGCTCCGCGGTGCCTGGCCGGCGCTCGGGTTGCTGTGGCTATTTAAAGGGCTTGCAGCTCTGGCCCCTTCCAGCTAGCACTGCAGCTGGGAGTCATGAGCCATTCAAATAGGGGCCTGCTGCCTGAGCCACTGGAAATTCAGTGGCACAGGCAGCAAGATATAAATAGAAGGTGGCCAGATGCAATCTGAGGGCCGGATATGGCCCCCGGGCTGGATCTTGCCTGCCCCAGTGCACTAGAATGGACTAAGTCTATGGCAGCAAGGCTTTTTCCCAGATGCAGTGTAGACATACCCGCCAGATTGTCTACCCCCAACCACCATACCACGCTCCCTCAAAGAAATACCCTCACCTGAAAGTCTAGGTGCTCCTGTACGGTGTAAAATAGTGATGTGCTCTCTCTTATTTTCAGGCAGAGTATTAGTGCACTGTGCGATGGGGATCAGCCGATCAGCAACGCTTGTGCTTGCTTTCTTAATGATCTGTGAAAACAAGACGCTTGTGGATGCAATTCAGACTGTGCGTAAACACCGCGGGGTCTGTCCCAACTCCGGTTTCCTGAAGCAGCTTCAGGAGCTAGACATGCGGTTAACGAGGGAGAGAGGAAGAGGAGCCGATTCCTTCAGACTTTAAATAGGGGGGGGGATGTCTTCTGATTACAGACCAACTACTACAGGTGGCCTCCAGGAAGATTGTACCTCTGCAAGATAGATAAATCCAGATGGCATTGAAATTACCTGGAGAGATACGTATGGAGTGAGCAGGGACAAGCTTCTGGTTCATTGAAAACAAGCATGAGGGACCTGACAATTCAAAAGAAGTCAGAAATAAAAGTAACAAAAATGGTTTTCAAAATAGCAGGGTCTGCAGCCGGGAACGGATGTTCCACTTGCACATGGTATAACAGGTAGGGAAATGTTGGGTCTCCATTCAAAAGTGAAAGGGCACAGTCAGCTTGGAGTAGGAGCCTTTTATGGACATGCAAACAAGAGAAAGAGAAAAGAAAATCGAGCTCACGAAAGAGGGATGCGTTTTCCTTAGTGGAGTTTGAAATTTCACCTCCAGCAGAAATACAAGCCAGACCCTCAGCTGGCGCACACATCAATGTCTCCCACTGGAGTTATGCCAATTCACACCAGCTGACGTGCTCCTCCCTACATTGGACTCCCCCCCCCCACACACACAAGCCTTAGAACATGTTAGAACCCCGACAAACCCTTGTAGGCAAGTTGGGGTCCCCTCAACTCACTCCCCACCCCTCACAACTCCCGAGGAGCCAATGGGTGAAGTTCCGGTTGCACGCTGGAAGCTGATGCACACCTGAGAAATCGTTAACTCAACAAAGAGCCCACCCCCATGTTCTGAGCGCTGCTGGTTTATACACAATCGCTTTCCTTTCCATTGGCTTTTAAGCCCAGCAGCTTGAAACACTTTGCAAATAACGGAGTGGGAGAGCAATGATAGCCCCATTTTACATCTGGGGAAACTGAGGCCCAAAGACGGTAAGCACACTGCCCTACTGCAAATCAGTAGCAATGCCAGGAAAGGAATCTAGAGCTCCTGGTACCTAGTGCCATGTTCTAGTCCCATTCCCTATCTTTCCCTTTGATAAAGGAACGCTAACCTCAAGTATTGATGTCAGAGCAAAAACAAGCAATGCACCTATCAAATCCACAGCAGCAGCTCTGTGTTCGCAGTTCCCTTTTACGGCCAACTGGCCACATTCAATCTCATGAACAACTGGAAGGAGATATTTACTTGGATGCAATTACAGCCCCATGCAGCCCATTGGCAAATGCAAATAATATAGAATTTCCACTCGACGGCAGATTAATTTGGTGTGATGTTTTCCCTGGAGACTTCTTAAAGGCGGGCAGGAGCGAAAGTGCCGTGCGGCTTGTATTTCTAGCACTGCGGGTTCTGAGCAGGAATCGAAGGCTGCGTACACTCACATGGAACGGCTGGGGTTTTAACTGCCACGCAGGAACGGTTTTACCAAGCGCTGCACGATTCCTGTGTGCGTCTCCTCAAGCCACATGAACACGAGACATCCCTGCAGAGCAGGTGGCTAAACTCAGTTGATGGTCTCCTCTTCGTAAGCACCGATAGGCCCGGATGCTAAAAGTGCGTTTCCTCAAAGGAATCAGGGGATAGCAAAGTGGATTTTATCTCCACTGTTCGGATAAGACAGCTGAAAGTGGACCTAGCCACTGGGGAATGGGTAGGGGAGACGACAGCCACACCAGGCTCCTGGAAAAGGTGGGGGAAGAGCCTGGCTCTGTACTTCCAGAAGGGCGGGGCCTCGTGCAGAAGGGGCGGGGCCGGGGCAGCCTGCCCTCAGCACTGCATGACATGTACCACACCAGCCCCTCCTCCCCAGCCCTTAGAGCCGCCCAAAATGTGCCACACTGCACTCTCCTTTTGCCCCTCCCTCCCCCATCGGCAGGCCTGGGAATGAGCATTTGTGATTGGATAAGGTGGTGGGCGAGGAGGTCGAAATTAATGAGGTGGGCGGAGAGGGAACTCACTGTTGTGTTACAGCCTCTCATGGGGTCGAAACTAATGAGGTGGGCGGAGAGGGAGCTCACTGTTGTGTTACAGCCTCTCATGGCAACGCCCGAGGGGCGCGTTTAGGGAGGTTCTATTGCCTGTATTGCACAGGAGCCCTGGCTAGAGGATCACAGTGGTCCCTTCTGGCCTTGAAATCTAGGACTCGGCTAGAGGATCCCAGTGGTCCCTTCTGGCCTTGAAATCTAGGACTGCCCTCTCCTGGGCAGTCTCAGCAGAGAGGCCAAGCACTTCAATGAGCATGGACATTACCGACCCTCTCCCTCTTAGACGCAGTCCCCTTCCATGGCAGGAGCAGGGCATATTGATGGGTCAGCATAAGGAAGCTTGTGTCATCACTACCAGGCCTGGGCCTATTTTGGGACTAGACGCCTGCACTCTCTACAGCCAGACACGGCTCCTGAGCACCCAGCTCAGTAGGCAGCACACTGGGCAAGCCTAGCAGAGTGCAGTGATGTCAGAAATGTGCACATCCAGAGGCTTCTGCACTTAGCCAGTCCGGAGCGGTCTCAGTTCCCATGGGTAAGGTAGGCAAGGGAAGGCCTTGCCTTCCCAAAACTGCCTACACTGCCTGGCTGCTGGAGAGAGCAGGGGCCGTGATGCAGCAGCCCCTGCTGTCATGGGAAGGATCAGGCTTGAGGGCTGAGTTGAGGGGAGCTTGAGCCTAAACAGCCAACGATCAAATGCGTTGAGACAGACCTAGCATTATAACAGAGAGGCTTGGACTGTGACCCAGTCAAAGCTGTGATGAGGAAACATGACCAGATTCCATCGGGAACTCACAGTCTTGGCAGCTCTCCACCCGCTCACGTTCAACGGCACGCAGCAATGCAACGCAGGGCGTAACCCTCCCAACAGGATTCCCATGACAATCCCAAGTCTCTGCCGGCCCTGCAGCACTGATTGAACAACGGGATAAGGACAATAATGTTACTTCTTCCTGGCAGTGCTGTGGAGCCAAGCCCACGTGTGCAAAGCCACAAGAAATCCTGCCACGGTCACCAGGTGTCACAGTCCCACCGTGTCTTCTCGATTCTCCCTCTCAGCAAGCAAGTTTTTAGTCCCTTGGGCAGGCGTGCGGTGCTGTTAGCAATTCCAGCTCTGCAAGGAGGTTCGGCATAAAGGCAGCGTCGGGGGAAAAAGGGAGCCGAGTGAGCAGCAGGAGACAGAGTCTGGGGCACTGCTGAGAGTCAGTTCCTGAAGCAGTCAAGAAGAGGGGTTGCCCGCGTGCCGTTTGACCCTCTCAAGTCGGGAGCGGTACACGCGTTTAAATAAAGCACGTTACACGCAGACTCCGCATCGCTCATTTCTCCTCTGTAGGCCTGCAAGTCCTCAGACATCTCCACCCACCTGAGAGGTAATACGAGGGGTGACAGCAGCAGAAAGTCTGACCATTAGGTAACACTCAGTGTGTACACACAGGGCCAATCTATCCTTCTCTTGGGAGAAGAACCCAGAGGAGTAAAAGGGGCCAGAGGGCAGGTGTTGAAAGAGAACCAACAGAGGAGACAGCTAAGGAAACCTTTCCCCTCCCATAGTGGTCCGGCTCCCCGTTACTCCCCTTGCATCACCCCATTTTCTCATAACTTCCAGGTGCTGGTAGGCAGCTCTCCCTCCTCTCCCTCCCTTTGAGCTTGGATGCGTCACTTCACCATTCCCCCTTACCCTCCCCTCCTGCAGATATTTGTATGGCTAGAATAGGTGCTTGCCTGCCTACTGAACACACGCAGTAGCTAGATGAATATCTACTGAAACAAAGGTCACAGCACAGGGTGCATCTTGGGGTTAATATTTTGTGATGGGTAAGTCATCAGAACCCTTGACCCACATGCATTACGCACACTGGTGGCGTCTTCCCATTGAGCTCAGGTACCATGTAGGAATCTCTTAAACTGCACTTTAAGAGGCAGGGTAAAAAGCAAGGAGGCATTGGGGGGTGGATCCATATTGAGTCTCACTCGGTGGCTTCCAGGTCCCGAGGGCAAAGCTTGCCCCTTGAGACGGCTTTTGAAGCCACCAGCTCTGCATAACCAGCGTGTGACTGTGAGAGACTCAGCTGCTCTTTCTGCCTCTGCAATTCTCACCCGTAACAAGGAGTCTGAGGCCGGACTTTAGCTGGCAATGTTGCTGATCATGCACTGGGGGGGAATAGAATTCCACTCGCTCTGCCATTTTATGGCCATTTTAACTAGACCTGGCACTCTGCTCTGCAGTGCCAGACCTAGTAAAACCTGTCTGCAAAAATACTAATTATTACTTGTGAGAAACACAGGCACAGATACTTCAGCTGGGAGCATTTTGCTGTCCATACTGGCAAGTGCAGAGCAAGTCATAACAGATACACACATGTTCCCTCAGAAGAATTCTCTCTTCCCACCACATCTTATCTGGCACAGTGTGAGCGCTGAAGATGCCGTCATCAACATCCATTCATCTTCAGGGCTTACATGACTCCACCACCATTATTGCAGTACATGAGCTTTGCAATCTCTAAAGTGTTTATCCTCAAAATCCCTGTACGAAAGGGAAGCACTGTAATTCCCATTGTACACATGGGCTCTGTGGCCCACAGAAACTAAGGCTACATCAATACTGGGAAGGTTTGGTGATGAAAGTGCTGTCGACATGCAAAAAAAATTGCCAAAAGTGAAGTCTCTAAGGTGCTTCAGGACTATTTGTTGTTTTTCAAGTTTGGTCAAACCACTTTTTCTGCCTCCCATTGTCGACATTTCATAGCACCCACCCTGTTGACAGAGCAAAGCAGTGTGGGTAAGCATCCCACAGTGCTGTGTGGTGGGAAGACAGAGCTGATCCCTGCACTTCTTGGAATTTCCTCGTAGCTCTAGGAGCTCTCCGTGCTGAGGAGTATCAAAGCAGCATAGCTGCCTCTCCAGCCCTCCCCCTGCAGCATCTGTCTGCCTGTCGCTGTTTCTAATGCAGTGCAGAACAGATTTGTTCACTCAGCTCTCAGATACTTCCTGGAGCTCTGAAGGCGGGGGTTGGAGGGGTGGGCACGCATGCCTGCAGGGCAACAGAGATCACAAAACACTGAGCAGAGCCATCAGGACCGGCATTGTGGGATACTGGGGGAAGCCAGTTCTCTCAGCCAAACAAACAGCAGTGTCCACACTGGCTCTTGGTCGACAATAAAGAGAGGAGAAAAGACAAAAAAGTCTCTTGCAGGGGTGGAAGCTTTTTGTCACCAAAATTAGGTGTTTTTTCCAACAAAAGTTGCATTGCTGTGCGTACGATCTCACTGTTTTGTCAACACAAGACAGTTTTTGGCAACAAAACATGCCAGTGTAGATAAGGCTTAAGTAACTTGCTCAAGGTCACACAGGACATCTGGAGTAGAAAGTTTTCCCCGATCCTACCACAGCTCCGCACTTACTGGTCTTCCGCTTACGAAGATGGATTAGCAGTCACTCTTGCTCTCCCTCCCAGACATGTGTCAATGGTAGCAAGTATAGAGAACACTGCAGCAGGCTGCTCTGTGCTGAATTATTCCTCCTTTGTTTTTGAACTTGGGGGGTTGTGTGCAAAAGAAAAGAGAGACTATAAACCTGCCCTCTGAAGAACCCAGGGAGGAGAGGCTAGTGCCTCCTAATAAGAAACATGAAAGGAGCAAGGATGGTGGTTTTGCTCCAGGGATGTTTTTCCAAACAGCAGTTGGTGGCAATGCACAGATGTAGGCCATCTGCGGAGATGGACATGGGAGGGAGGCGCCCATGTATACTGGCCTCTTCATACCCTGGGGCATTAGTTCATACCATCTTTCTAGAACTACAGATGCAAAATATGCAGACATAGCCCCATGGCTACCATGATAAATATGCCCCTGCCCTACAGGTCAAGATCCATGGGTCCTATACATGTCTATCGCAGCATGGGATGGAGCTCATCCAGCACATCCAATGCCCCATCCAGTGATGAGAAACCAAGCGATTCACTCCTCATGTCCAGGACTCTGGAAATCCACTCTGTGCTCAGGCCTGTCAAGGGGTTGGTCTGTTGGCCTCTTCGCCCTTGCTGGAGGCTCTCCCTTGCTGGCTCGCCATCAGTCTGCTGACTGGAGTTCCTTTCTCCTGCCTGCTCACTCCCCTTTGGCAGCCCTGCCAGCCGGCTTCCCAGCCCTTTGATCCTCCCAGCTGCTGTTAGCCGGCCAGTCATCAGTGGCTGGCAGGGCCAAGATTAACCCTTTGGTTTCTGAGCGAGCGGGCGAGAACATACACCCCATGACCTTTGAAACGCCTCCTCCCGCTGGAGCAGGTTCTGCAGGGGCGGTGGGGTGGGATCCCAGTGGTCCAGGCCTGCTCCCCAACCCCTACATCCCATCAGAGGCATCCTAAAAGGTGCAGCTCCTGCAGAGCCTTGGGCACCTGGTAACAGGATCATATGAGAGTAGAATTGGCACGTCACCATGGCCGTGACGTCCTCCTGTCAAGAGAATATGGGTGGGTCAGACTTAGATGCTCCCAGGAATCAGGGAGGAGTAATGGCAACTGGCACCTTAGGGTGGACTCAGCTTTCTTTCAAGTGGCCTCCAGTGCCAGACACCCCCCAACTCTTGTAGAGGAATCTCCTGCCTCCATTCCCTCCATCTCCATCGGGCAGTTGCTCCTTAGCAGCTTCTCACTGTCTGATTGCTCTGTCTGGTGTTGGTGGCCATGTTCTTCCATTTCCATTGGGTTGCATCTCTGGCCCCACAGAATAGCAGGGCTCTCCTATGGTGGGTGGAGACTCCTTAGTGCTTGGGAAGAAGGGTTGATCCTAAATGGAGCAGAGGGAGAAGGGGGAGGGGAGAGAGACAGAGAGAGAGAGAGAGAGAGAGACACACACACAGACACACACACACTCATCCTCTAGCTAGGGGCCAATCTCAGAGGATGTGGGGAGTTCCAGCAGGGCTCCCATTACCCAATGAAGGAACAGTCTCAGAAGTTGGTGAGTCATTTCTTCAGTCATTTCTTCAGCCATTACCTGGCTTCTGTCAGCATCACTTTTCTATTGGGTCCCATTTCCCAGCTGGGTTTCCTTACCTCTGTAAACTGGTGTAGCCGATAAATGCCCTCCCTGGTCAGCCAGCCAATGTCCTTGGCTGGGTCACTGATGGACAATCACAGCTAAGCCACCACGTTCCCTAGTTTGGGGAACTGTGCTGAGTTCTAATGGAAGGGAGGGGTGGAAGCTCCATCAGCTTCTCCTACCAGCTCCCAATCTCCCCTGGGCCAGGAGTCTCTCTCCCCCAAGTCCCTCTGCGGGAGACACGGGGGAAAGGAGCTAGACCCTCAGCTCCTTCTGCCCCCAAGGGACTCTGGAGCAAACGGTGGGCAGGGCCCTCCATGAGGACTTGTACCCCCAGATGCTCCAGGAGGACAAGAAGGGACCCAAGACCAGGAATTAACTTGGCTGGAGCAGGGGTTGGAACATGGTCCTTTTAAAGTCCCAGGGTCTCCACTGAACCAGGAAAAGAGGAACTTAACCCAAGTCTGTCTCCCTCCCTGCTCTGACTCTGCCTTCCCAAAGGTAACACTCCCAACCCATAACCCCTGCAGCTGCAGGTCCTACAGCCTATCCAAGCCAGCCTGCTTCTGTCTGGAGTCAGGAAGCCGGGGTGAGAGGTCACTTACATCTAATTCAGGGAGGGGGATGGTGAATCAGAAGAGTGCTCTGTGACTCCTTATAGCCTTGGCTCTCCCCTGGGGCACTCTGGACCTGATGCAGAAGTTGACATGGTGTGGGGGGAAGGAGGTAGGTCAGGATCAATAGACTAGTGTACAAATGAGACCACTCCCATCCCGGGGCCAAGACACTGGACTCAGGGTGGAATGTCCGTGGCGCTTGAGAAGGGGCATGGTCACAAAGCATCTTTGTGTCTCTAGACTGAGACAGCGTCCAGTGTCTGAGCTGGTCCCATCCTCTCTGAACTCCTGATTCATGAACAGATGATCAGGACGGAGACCAGACCCTTGCATCTCTGTCCGGCCTGCCAGATGTCAGGGTAACTTTGTGAGGTCATCATCTCCCCACCAATAGGCTGTGGTCCTGCAACAGGCCTTTGTGATGTCACTGCCAAACCCACCCCTCAGCTGAAAGGCTAACGTCCGGCCTCCAGCGAGCCCCGTTGGGCGCGTTGACCAATCAGAGTCCAGTGCTCTCAAACGAGCTACAGACCAACAATTCAGCGAGTATTTGAGAAGAACTGGCACATTAGAGACAATCAGGAACTGCCCTGAGACAATAGTTGGAGAGAAGCAGCACAAACAAATACATAATTGCTCATGACTTATTTGTGTGGCCTTAAAATACATCAAAAAGGACCCGAGTCTCTCGCCAATAGCCACCTGCTCGGCCAATCAGCATCAAGAGCTGGGAACCGGTGGGGTCTCAGCAAGAGTCCAAAAGGATGGCCCAGGTCACCACCAGAGGGGATCAGTCTTCCAGCCCCACCTCTTTGTGAGAGTCTCCCACAGTGACAACTTTCCCCCCACCCCCTTCAACACATACACACCTCTCTACCTCTCTTTGATGGAGGCAGGAAGGAATAGAAAAGGGGAAAAAGAAGCTAGAGAAGGAGAGAGAATGGGGAGGGAGGGAGGAAAAGGGAAACCGTAAAGGACAAACCCCTCAGTATCCCCAGTGATTCTACGCGACAAAGTCATTAGTAGGAAATCAAATCACTAGAAGCTAGTGATTTTTATGCCTAGAATTCAGCTGCTACCAAATGGATCAGACTGAATTGGCCTCTCTGAGGCTCTCACCTTCTAAACAGGGACAACAAAATCAGTGGTGGGGAAGGAGAAAACTCCGAGGAGGCTCCTCCTCACGCTCACCTACATGAACCCTAGTTCTCTGTCCGTCCCCAAGGACAGACCTGGAGATGGAGCCTTGTAGCTGCAAAGCCACGCGAGTCTCTGAGGCTGCCCCAGCCTTGCCTGGCTGTGTCAGGGTTGCTTTATGAGGTCACCACCTCCCCACGACTGTCCCCCAATAGGCTGAGGTCCTGTCACAGGCCTTTGTGATGTCACTGCCACGCCCACTATGGGATTTTCTGTCTCCTTTTTCAAATCCCTTTCCTAATAATCCTTAGCATGTCAATAGCCTCTGCGATTGCTGCTGCAGAAGGAGTAGATGCTTTCACAGAATTGCCCATGGTGACTCCAAGATCTCGGGCTGGGGCAGTAACAGCTAAGTTAGAACCCATCATTGTATATGTGTTGCTGGGATTATTTTTCCCATTGAGCCTTACTTCTCAATGTTGAATTTCATCTGCCATTCTGCTGCCCAGCCACCCAGGTTTGTGAGACCCCTTTGTAGCTCTTCACTCTCTGCTTTGGACTTACCATCCCTGAGCTGTGCAGAACACCAGCCGCTGACTACCTTCCTTCCCCCACCGCCTCTGGCTGGGCGGGCACCCAGGGGGAGCACTGGGAAAGGCTGTTTGGGTCAAGTTGGCCAGTCACCCCCACCACCATCTGAGAGAGTTGTAGGGAGGGGGGGGGAGAGAGAGAGAGAGAGAGAGACCTCTCCCTGCATGAGCTTTAAAGATTTAAAGGTAAAGAAAAAGACTCCAGCGACTCGGTAGTTCTTTTTAACAGGGGCTCAGTCACCCTACTCAAAAGACACCTGCACAGCACCTTCAAAAGACAAGCTTGGGAATTAAATTCATAAAGTCACCCTACTCAAAAGACACCCGCACAGCACCTTCAAAAGACACGCTTGGGAATTAAATTCATAACTCTGCTGGACACGACTTAAAGACACCGGTTTTGTGGCTCATGCACAGCAATGGGTAACACATCGTACATAGTGCCTGCTAATGCTTAACCGCCCAGTTGATTTTAAGTCATCTCCTACAGCACGGGTGAACCCCTTCTGCTTAACATGTCCCACCTGGTATTCAGCTTGGCCACTGAATTTACCTTCTCCAGACTGAAGGAAGGAGTCTGAAGATTGAAAGCATGCCCCTTCCACCAGGAGAAGTTGGTTTAATCCAAGACATTACCTCACCCACTTGATCTCTCTCACACTGGTGAACCAAACCAGCTACAAGAACATGGCCAATATCCATCTCTCCTGGATGTTTTCAGTGCTGCTGTAGGAAGGACACCTCTCTTGGTGACATGCATCTGACAAAGTGGGTCTTTGCCCACGAAAGCTTATGCTCCAATACATCTGTTAGTCTATAAAGTGCTACAGGACTCTTTGTCACCTCTATCGGGGTTTTCTTTGAACATGGTGTGATTGCTTTTGCTGCTCCTCTTTTGCGAACAACCTGGGTCCTTCGCCAGAATACACCATGCTGCTAGAACATTAAATACGACCAAGCGCTGTAATACGTCAGCATGAGATGAATCCAAAGAGCAGGCTTAATCAGCCCTTCAACCAAGGGCTGTAATACATCAGCATGAGATGGATCCAAAGAGCAGGCTTAATCAGCCCTTCCCACTGTAACTCTTTGGTGTACAACTTGCAATAAAAGGATACCTTTGCTCTTCACCTACGGTACCCAGAATTCACACTGATGATCGCTGATGGATGAGGATCTATTTAACGATAGAACTCGCATCACCACATCTGTATTCGATGTATTGCTCTGGTTTAATAAAGGGAGCTCAGCTCCCTTTCACAGTGCTAGCTATCTGGAGCCAAGCCAAGCCAGGGTGACTATTCTTCTGTTTGACAGACCTAACAGCCTATATTCAGAGCTGCACTGCATTCCCCTTGAACTCCCACCTGCCCGCAGCGGGATTTTAAAGCATGTCAAAGCTCACTTGCCCACTGTTCATTTGCCCATGTGGACCAGAGATAGCTCCGCTCTCAAGGGGTGCCCAGCTGTCCCATTCTTTGGTGTGAAGAGCTTATGTACAGGAAACTTTCATGCTTTGCAAGACCTCTGACAATTGTTCACGGTTAGGAATGTACATACATCTGTTGGAATCACATCAAGTTGGAGTCCTGGGTCCCAATAGGCGTTAGCCAGTAAAACTTCCTCCACTGAGTTTACCCTTTGCAATGCACAAGAAGTTTTATGGGTTCTACAGAACCCAGAGACAATTCCACATTTTCTTGACCCCTACCTACTGACGCTGCCTGTTTTAGCTTCGTAGTTTTAATTTCTCTCTCTCTCACACACACACACACACACACCCTTCTATTTTAGAGTGCTCCTGTATAAGATGCTAATTTATACTTGCTGTGGATCTGGTGCTACAGCTCCTCTTTTCAATTGTGACTCCACAACACTTTTTTGCCACCATCTGTCCCTGGAACAGTCACATTCCTTCAGTTTGCCAAGCAACCTCATTCTATTCCTTTCCTCCTTTAAAAAAAAAATCTCACTTCTTTTAGAAGTTGGCTATTGGCAGAAGAGACTAGTGGTTATCACAGACCCAGGCCTGTGGCACCAATGTGTCCAGGTGTTACTCTACTCTGCAGCTATGTTTAGATAGTCCCACTTGACAGTTGGGCTCATATTTGAGTCCATGCGATCCCTCCCAAATCCTTGCCTTCATTTCCACGGCTCTGCCTCAGTTTTCAGGCCCTAGGAAGATGTGATTTTGGGCAGGGAAGCGAGAACAATCAGAAAGAGAATACAAGCCATTGATTATTTTATAAACCAGTTTGTATTTAATTTGTCCTCTTTAAAATCAGTCACAGATTTCAAATCTGTTCTCAGAGAAAATTACTCAGGAGGTGAAACGCCTCTCTCCGGGTATGTCTGCACTAGCTCATTAATTCACCTCTCTCCGGGTATGTCTACACTAGCTCGTTAATTCGAGCTAGGTAGGCAAATGAGGCGACCGGAGTTGCAAACGAAGCCTGGGATTTAAATATCCCGGGCTTTATTTGCATGTTCGAATTAACTGTTACTCCTCCTCATTCCACGAGAAGCAACAGTTAATTCGAACTAAGGACTCAGTTCGAATTAACGTTTCACTGCCGTGTGTAGCCACGCGGCAGGGAGTTCGGGCTAGTGAAATTTCAAAATGGCGACCGGACGGGAACATGCAAATAAAACCTGGGATATTTAAATCCCGGGCTTCATTTGCAACTCCGGTCGCCTCATTTGCCTACCTAACTCAAATTAACGAGCTAGTGTAGACATACCGTCCAATATCACCCCCAAGGAAAAATATCAATATTCCCATAAGAACAAAAACAGAAAACCCGCTAAGCAAAAAATCCAAACAAGATTCAATTCCGATTTCTCCACCACTGATTTAAAAGACATTTCCTAACTAGTGCCCACAGTAGCCTGCCTCTCAAAGAGACGTGCCTGTCTGCAGTGGACACAATCTCCCATGCATTACTCATTTTTGTCAGGGCCTGATCCGAAAAAGCGCTTAGCGGTCTTAATACCCACCATAAGCAAGGGATCCTAAGGTCACTCCAGAGTCACTAGCACCATAGAAAATCAGCCCTAGGTTGGGAGTACACAATAGACAGCCCTGATTCATGCTAGGGTTCTTGGCTATTCATGCTGTATTCTATGTAAATCAATATTTCGGTAGATAAGAGCTAAAGTCAAGTTAACACATATTGAGCTTCATCATAAGCGTTTACTCAAATAAAAAGCTGAACTTGCTTCTGCTGTGTTTGCTCTCTCTTGGCATTTGCTCCCCATTAATAGTTGAGTAAATGAGTTTGATTCCAGGACTGCTCGCTGAAGCAGCCAGTTTTAAGTAAACATTAGCAGGCAGTATTCTCTTAACTCATACACAGAAATATCCTCACTGGAAAACAAAATATAGGAGGCACCCTTACGCAGTGAGAGATCAGAAGTAGTAACATGTGACCTCCACAACCCATCCAATGAAAGGCTCTCAAATGCATCTCAAAATGCATCTCAAATGTGTTGATAGTGAATATCTTCAAACACCACTCATGAACAATCTATAGACCAAAATTATTGCTCAAACCCTTTCCGATGGAGATTTCCTGGGTAGCAGTAATGTTTGCAATAAACCATTCAAGAAAGAAGAAGCTTGGAATTTTTAAATGAAAAATGTCAAGTGTCAAAAAAAATTGTTTTCATCAAGTTGTTTAAAAATTACAGCAGGTTTTGGACAAAACATTCAAAAAACAAACAAACCAACAACCAGGTCTAGCTACAAATTATTTGTTCGGCTCTAGTGACAGCTGACTGATACTAAAATTATTCTGACACACTGTTCAAGAGAACATCTGTTTCCACTCTGACTCCTTTAACTTTCAGATGTGAACAACAAAAGCTTATTGTCATGCCATGTCTTCCATCTCCACTTGGCAACGGCCACATGATTATGAAGTTATTGTTATGAGGGATGTTCTGTTTGTCAGTTTATATTTTCCTTTCGGATCTATTTTTAGGTGCTCATTAGTATTCTGTGGGCCCCACTCTTATAAATCTGAAACCTTTATAGCACATCTTGACAATTCATCTCATGGAGCCAACCTCCCAGGAAAGGAAGCCCAAACCACTTCCCTCTGCTTAACTGAATAAGAGTCATATTCATGTCTTTTAAACTTCAAACTCAACATTTTCCCCATCTGCTCTTTAGACGCCGCAGCCCGTTTGTGCTACCAATATTTTATTCTCCATTCATAACTCCATATTTTCCCCCAGAGGTTTCCAGATGCTTTTTAGCTTGCCACACTCCTGGAAGATTTGGATTTTAAGTTCACTTTTCTCCCTCTGCACTCTACCTTCGGGGGGTGGGGGGGAGAGAATCACTAAGGGTGTGTCTAAACTACATGGCTCCTTCAATGGAGCCATGTGGATTAGGCTGATCGGCAAAGGGAAATGAAGCCGCGATTTAAATAATCGTGGCTTCATTTTAATTTAAATGGCTGCTCCGCTGAGCCAACAAACAGCTGATCAGCTGTTTGTTGGCTCAGCACGCTAGTCTGGATACTCCCCTGTCGACATGAAAGCCCTTTATCGACCTCCCCGGTAAACCTCATCCTACGAGGCATAACAGGGAGGTCGATAAAGGGCTTTCAGGTCGG